CATTAACATTATCTGTAGTGGTAAATTTTTCTTTCAGCCAGTAGTGTAATGGTGAAGTTTTTGAGTGTAATGAATGGATAAAGTAATGCACTATCAGATTATCCAAAGGTTAAGCAACCCTAAACACATTTTAAGTGGCAAAAAGCCTCTCTTTTTGAGCTTTGGCAGCAACACATGCCATGAATGTCCAGAAAGTATCACATGTCTTGCCAATATTTATGTTTTTTTTCTTCAAAAAAAAATCTACAAGTTGCTGATAGTGTAATGAGCATGAAAAAAAAATTCCAAGGCAAAATGGATAATGTAATGTGCAAAGAATTTCCAAAAATTATGGGGAAAGTAATGATAATGAGTGGAAATTCACTACTTTATCTTTACACTACCATTACGGGTAATGTAACTACCCAGTGTTGCTACATGTCTTGTGGCTGACATCCCCAATCAATGCCCCCTTGAGACAGTAGTATTGCTGTCAGCCAAGGTATGTGGAATCACGACCGAGTGGATTTGCCAAAAAGTGGTATGAGCAACGGTCAAACAGATATTAGCTGAGTATTGATATTGGGTGGTATTGCCTATGAATACCACCCAATATTTGGGCTAAGTATAGTATTGGGCCCTTGGCCCAATAATTTTTATTCGTGGGCACATGTATTGGGCAGCCAATAAAATAAACTTTATTCATCATTAATCTATTGGCTCGGCCAATAAAATAAAATAATATACTTCAAAATTATCAGTGTGGATTTCAAAAACCTGTTTTTATTCTTTTTTCTTCTTTTTTTTCTTTTTTTTTCATTTTTTCATTTTTTTCATTTTTTTTTTCCTTTTTTTTCATTTTTTTTCTGTTTTTTTTTTTTTTTCATTTTTTTTTCTGTTTTTTTTTTTTCTTTTTTTTTCTTTTTCTTTTTTTTCTTTTTTTTTTCTTTTTTTCTCTTTTTTTTTCCCCTTTTTTCCCCTTTTTTCCTTTTTTTTATTTTTTTCTTTTTTTGTCTGTTTATTTCATATCATTTTCTTACTTTTTTCTTTGAGATTTCCCATCTATCCAATCCACCATCCATGGTATTCTTCACATGATACTATGATGATTGGCTTTCATGGCTCGTATGCTTCTAATTGCACCAACATGCCCCTCCCCTTCTAACATTCATCATTGCAATCCACTTTGATGTCACAAAAAAACAATCATTATTGCCCTTTGCTGGCTTGCTAGGGTCAATTCAAGCCTCAGATTGCCACTAGTCTCCCATTTGCACCTTGATATCCTCTATTCTGAGCACACATCATAGTTGAATCATAACAATCATCAAAGGCTGACCTGATGTTTGCCCTTTTATTTTTTTGTGGGTGGATTGGTGGAACAGCTAGTCCAATGGGCTCCACTCTCATTAGTGATGGAATATATCTGATTGATCAAAGAGACAATGATGGTCAGACTAGAGATAGATGAAGCAAGTCCATCTAATTTGCCAGTACCATTCAGCCCACAACTGCGGATGCCAAAGGCCAAGCACAAGCCCTGATTATTTGAACAGTCTCCCCTGCTCTCCTCTGCCCTGGACCCGACTTCCTCTAGAGATGGCCGCTTTGCATCCGGATATCCGGCTGCTTTTTCTAGGGAAACCGGCATCCGCAACCGCATCCGCATCTGCCAGCGGGTATCCCCCCGCCTTAGCGGGTATCCCCGGATACCCGCTCTTTAAAGGGCCGGCAAGGGACCAGCTGGAAGGGTTTCCTTCCAGACGGCGAGGTACATGCTCAACGGCTGGAAGGATTTCCTTCCAGCCATCAAGGCACATGTACCTCGTCAACTGAGGAAACCCTCCGGTCGACGAGGTACATGTATCTCGCTGGCTGGGAGGGTATCCTTCCGGTTGACGAGGTACATGTACCTTGTCGACTGGAAGTATTTCCTTCTGGCCTTGGGTATCCTTTGGGATACCCGCCAGTGTTTTGCGGAAAAGGGGCCATCCGCACCCGAATCTGCACCCGCTGACGGGTATCCGCCAGGGGATAGCCGGTATCCGTGACGGATACCCTTTGGCCATCTCTAACTTCCTCCACTTACAAAAAAAAAAGAACGAAAGAAAAAGAATAAAAAGTAAAAAGTAAAAAAATGAAAAAAATGAAAAAATAAAAGAAAACAAAAATGAAAAAAAATGAAAAAAAATGAAAAAAAATGAAAAAAAATGAAAAAAATGAAAAAAATGAAAGGAAAAATGAAAGAAAGAAAAAAAAAAAGTGAAATTATTGAATACCTGTGATACTGTGCCAATATTTTATTTTATTGGCCAATACAATATATTCAAAACAGATAAAATTTATCTGTTTCCAATAAAATACAAATTTATTTTATTGGCAAACAGATATAATATATTTATTAAAGATACTTTTTATCTGGACACCAATACAATATAAAATATTGGGCAATAATTTATTTTATTGTATATGTTTGACCGTTGGTATGAGCTGTTGATGTGGGCCTGATATCACTAACATTTTATGGAAACGCACAGGGTGTTACACTTGCACACAGGTTAGTGGAGCTCACTAACATTTTATGGAAACGCACAGGGTGTTACACTTGCACACAGGTTAGTGGAGCTATGTTGAGTTGTGGCAAAGCCTTCACAGACTGTGCATGACTGAAAATGGCACAGTATACGCCACCCTTCAAAAAGTGGAAACTGGGTCTGCACCCCTTTTTTTTTTGGTGGAGGGGGATCTGCCAGGGAGGCTGGCATGTGTCTGTCAAAGTCCATTGTGATGAATTAAAAAAGTTTGAACATATTGTTTGAAACTGCCATATCGAGCATGCTAACAAACCTTCTTGTGTACACCAAAATCAAGATAGATGGGCAAATCTGATTGCTTTCAGAGATTTTGGAGATTGATCTGAATGTTTGTCAAAATATCATTTGAATTTGGTATTGGCATTGTTCAAGACTCATCCCCTGTGCTTCCATCCTTTCCAGACAAAACCTTGTGAAAAGAGGGTTCTGCAGTCACTAAAACCGCCTTCACCCTTGGGTTTCACTAGTACATTCCACAGACAATCATATCTCAGAGCATCCATGACTTGTGCTTTGTCTCAGCTTTGCATCTAGACTGCAGAGATTTCATCTCTCCACTGTCTAGGTCTGCTTGTAATACAGCTCCCCTTGGTTCTTGAATTCTATTCAAGACTACTGACTCTCTGTCAATTGCCCATCAAGAGAGTGAAGAGATTTTGCTCTTACACACAGGCCCTCTGGTAGAGGGACTTACTTCAGAAACCATTTTTGTTTTTTCTCTGAGAGGAACATAATTTTTTTTCTGAAAATTTATCATACAGGCAAGGTATGACAAAACCGGTCCAGACCAGCTTGTAGTCCTTCATCTTGTCTATCACTACTGACCCACTCCTCATGTAAGAGAGAAGTCTTTCTCTCCAACCCCCTCCTCTAAGCAGAGGGGCAAAGAGGAAGCCAGCCTCGACAACCTTCCAGCCTCCCATGTCTATAAATTACAGGCAGACAAATCCAAACAATAAACCAATTTTACAGCACTTTTTTTTATGTACCAGTTTGGTGGGTTTTTTATCATATTTGGTATGTGTCTCAACAAAGCCCTGTATGTGTATAGAAATATCCAGCCCAATCAGACACTACCAGTGTCCCCTAAACTTAAAGCAACGGTGCCACAGATACGAGACATGTATTTGTATCGGATTGTATCGTATTTATTTTGAGCCTGATACCGGTATCAGTATTTCCTTGGTTGGTGAAAAAATACATTGTATCGGATTTGGATTTAAAAATGAAAAAAAAAAATCGTCTTCGTTTTTTTTTGTTTTTTCTTCAATACAGCCAAATATCTTATGTATCAAATACGGTTTTGGTGGGATCAGTCATCTGAGACAATACAGAATACATTTCTCACTTTTCAAATACGATACATGTATATGTCTCAGGAAAGTGAGACAACACAAATCCGGTATTTTTGGGTATTCCAATTCTGAGACGATACAGATAAACGCCTGATACCGTATCGTATCGTCTCTGTGGCACCGTTGCTTAAAGTAAGACAATCTACACACAAAGGTTGCTGTGATGGTTTTTCAAGGACTTCTTAAGATTGCATATAAGGGTGCAGTTGATTATAAGCGTAGTACTAGTGGAGGATGTGTGATGTTGCTACAATGTATATGTACCAAGGCCTGAGGGGTGGGTGGACGTTGGCCAACGTTGCGCTGATCAGGATTCAGTCAAGCATATGTATCTGCAAGGATCACATATCTTGGAGCTTCTATTTGCATGATTTGAGCGGATTATGTATGACCAGTGCTCCTGTGCGTCTTCAGGTAAGGGATTACCCCGACGGCCAGGATTTCGGGGCTGCCCCGGGACCAAACCCCGGTTATCGGGACTCGAGATGGGTATCTGCCAAACCCCGAAACCCTGGGGTTTACTGTTTATAGGGATTTTCCCTGATTTTTCCTTGTTTTGGCGCGCATAACATTTTTTTTTTTTTTTCATTTTCACATGTGGGCTTCATTGAAAAAAAAAAAAAGAAAAAAAAAAAAAAAAAAAGGGTTGAAATGGGCCATCAAAGTCCAAAAAACAAAAACCAATCCCAACACAGCACTTCTGGTTGAGATAGGTAGGTAGTGCTGGGCCGTAGGCCCGTAGTAGTACCATCATTGGTCCAGAAAAAAAAAAAAAAATTGTAGCAAGCCCCGGGGCTTCGGGGCAGACCCGGAATTCCCGGGGTTCGTTCCTCGGGATGACTCTCTTGCCCCGTCCCAAGCCCCGGGGCAATCCCTTATCTTCAGGTTCACCACCTGACCCTGACAAGGCTAGCACACACGTCCCAAATCATTCATCATCATGCCCCATCATTCCAAAAGAAAAGGAAACCAAAACAAACAATTATATCATTTCATACATCTAATTATGTATCTCAAGAATTATATTACACCTACCCCCCCCCCCCAAAAAAAAAAAAAAAATGAAAGAGAGGGAGAGGGAGAGAGAAGAAGGCGACCGACGGAGCACCAGAAAGAGACAGATGATCGACCACCGCCGATGGTTGTTGTCTGCCAAGAAGAGGCCGGTCAGTGGTCGCCTTTCGAATTATCACCCATCCATACCCATCCATACCCATGATATTCCCACAAAAAACAAAGGATATACATGATAAACAAGTTCATATAATCCACCCATCACTCCAACCAACCAACCAACCACAACCACACACACAACAATATGTAAACCCAAGAAAAAAAAATCGCTCTCCTAAAAGCATCCCAGATATTCCAAAAAAAAGAAAAAAAAAGAAAATGAAAAGAAAATGAAAAGAGGGACAAGAAACGAGAATCAAGATTTCAACAATCCGCCGCCGGTGAGTTTATCGAACAAGTGAATAGAGGGACGATTAGAGTTCTTAGAGGAGCGAGGTGCGAGTCTAGCGGGGTGACGAAGATGCAGGTCATGAGTAGGAGGAGGAGGTTCAGAGGTTGATGATACTGAAGTCGTTGTTGTTGGGTGAGATGGATGGTGGTGGGGGAGAGCAAGGTTGTTTTGGTTGACCGTTCCTAGCTGCCGTTGTTCTTCCTTCAAGAAGACTTTCTTCTTGATCTCTCCATTCTTGATCTCTCCATTCATAATACCACCGCCCACTTTCGCCTTCTTCTCCCTCCTAGGTTTCCTCATCTTCTTGCCATCCCCCGCGATACACGATGCCATCCCAGTCGGCATCCCATTCGACGACGAGCAAGTGGAGGAGACGATTGTAGGATCCGGCGAGTCTTTGAGGATATTACTGGCAAGATCGACGCCCGGATGAGTGGCGGGAGCCGGGAGGACAGAAGACGAAGGATCGGCAAGCGAGCGCTGGCCGAGTTTCTTTTCCATGACCTTCTTCTTAGTAAGGTTAACAGAACCAGAAGAAGAAGAGTCGGGAAGTTTAGCAGACGAAACATCAGGCAACGCAAGCGGTTGATCAAGCTTCACGGGGCCGACGAGATGATCAGAGGCCGTAGAGGTGCAGGGATCCGGGCCAGACGAGCGAGCTTTGGGATGATCGACAGTGTGAGAAGAAGGAGTAGATTTAGCATTAGAAGACAGCCGACCAGACACGAGTCGTAAAGCGACCGAATCGACCAGTCGGACCGGCAGATCTTTCCGAGGAGCAGACGACTGGTCGTTCAGGGAGAGAGAACCGGCGAGGATGTGAGAGGGGCCAGTCGAAGAAGAAGAAGAAGAGCCTGCGGCGGGAGGGACCGTTGTTGTTGAAGAGGGGACGAGTGGGGGATGGATGGGACGCGAGTGAGAGGATACAGGAGTCGGTGTAAGAGAGGTTGATGAATCGATCAGATTAGCACCGACATTCGTATTTATATTGGTCGTTGTCGTTGTCGTGGTGGCTGAGGAAGAAGAGGGAGAGGCTGAAGAAGAAGAAGAGGGTACCGGGGAGACGGGCATGATGAGCCGGGCAATCGACTGCTTTTGTTTTTGGTTCAACAGCCGCGAGGAAGAGGAGAGGGGCGATTGAAGCGGCTGTCGTCGTTGGCTGACTGAAGCCGTAGAAGCATGAGAGTCTGGTTTGCTCGTTTTGGTATACTCGTTGTTGTCGGCGTCACAAGCAGCAGGAGGAGTAATAGTCGTGGTTGGCGGAGGTCTGGTTAAGGTCGAGGGGTCTTCAGATCGGTCGGTGCTCTGTTTTGTTTATACACACACACATATATGAAAATAAGAGATCAGTCCTCCCGAACAAGAAAACAAACTGGACGTGTTTTTTACAATCACACATACCTTAACTGCAGATGATGATGATTGGATAGCACCGCCGAGTTGGATCTTAACCAACCTCCCTAAAGCGCCGACGATTTCTTCCCGAGATTGGACATTAAGCTGAGCACCAGGAGGAGCGAGACTATCTGGATCAGTCGGAGGTATGATGTTCTTGTTTGGTTGTTCTTGAGAGGGAGATAGATTGTGGTGATTAGGAGAGGTAGCCCATTCGGTCAAGTCAGGCAGCTGGTCTTCTTCGGCATCAGATTGACGCGCCGCTTCGACCAAGCTAGCCCAATCGAGCTTACTGTTTTCTGTGGATGATGATAATGGGGATGTTAATGTTGTTGTTGTTGTTGTTGCTACTGCTGCTTCTGGTGATGGCGATGCTGATGGTTGATCGAGCGGAGTAGTAGTAGTAGTAGTAGTAGTTGTAGTTGTTGTTGATGAGGATGAAGAAGATGAGGAGAGGTTGACGATGACTGAGGAGGGAGGCTGAGGAGGAGTCGAGAGAGGTGACTTATTATTACTGAATGAATGAGTGTGTTTACAGGGAGGGTTTTTTGGATCTGGTAGTGGTTCTACTGAGATTTGTTCAGTTGGTAGTTCTTGCTGTTCTTGTGGTGAGAAGATCTGTTTTGGTGGTGATGGTGGTTTTGGTTTGGGTGCATGGATGGATGGGAATGGGTTCTCCTTCTCGAGTGTTGATTTTCTTAGTCTGTTCAGTAGGTCATCGAATCGATCGAGCCCTGGTGAGTTTTTCTAATGGAGAGTGTTAGTTACTTGGTTGAGGATGTGTTTTTTTTGTGCTTACACTCATGATGATAGTCTGTTGCTGTTGCTGTTGTTGTTGTGGTTTTCTTCCTCTTCTTCTGTTGTTGTTGTTGTTTGTCGTTTTCTCCATTATTATTATGAGTGAGTCAGAGTGAGTGAGTGTGTTGGTAGATGATAGTTTTCTTCTGGCTGGGGTGGGGCTGTTGACCATCTATGTACCCTTCCCTTCCCCCCGGGGGGATAAACTCAGCCCCCCCTTGCTCAGCCTGTATGCGTGCATCAGCCAAGACCCTTCGAGAACACCCAAGAAGAACACGGTCACTCCACTCTTCACTAAAACATTTGCCAAGAATATTAAAAGGTTTAACCTTAAACCACAAACCCCACTCCCCTAAACAAGTATTGCAGATTGCAATGACGGAAGAGACATCAATTCTCTTCCTGACCTTGTTTTGCCTACTTTCCCTCCGCCCCAAGCCGTCCTCCTTTTATGACTTTGACTCTCTTTTGTTTCATATCGTCATTCTTGTCTTCTTCATATCATTGGTTGCAGAGGTGAGGTTTGGATGTCCGGGGGTGGCAAATGAGTTGGGTAGATGTAGCTGGATTGTCGGAATAGGGGGCCGATATATGCAAGTGGATTGGCGTAAGGTGATGGAATCAGCTGCAAAATTGGTGGGGGAGGTGGGTTTTGGGTTGCCGGAAAGGGTAGATTAACTGCATAGTGGAGTGGGGGGTTTGTCAGAGTGCAAGAGGTTGAACAGGGCTTGGAGGCGGGAAATGGAAATGGACTGGGATTGACAGGGGCTAATACCGGATATAGGCAGCTGTTGCAATATGGCAGAGGTGCAGTTTGAATGTCGAGGCGTCAGGGATGCCCCGGAGTTGAATGGGAGGCGGCAATGAAAGACCGGGATTGAAGAAAAATATCGGAAATGGAACCGTAAACCTTGGAAAAAGGAAGTGACGAACTGTGCAGTCGCTTGAGCCGGAAGGCGGTGGCGGAGACTTGGAACACTGCTCAAAGCAAGACTTGGGACCGTCTGAAGGCTTATCCCAAAATTGGTGCCGCTCAGTATCTCAATCACTCTAAAGCTGGCTTTTCCACAGACCCATCCAAGCTACTATCTTCTCCGGCATACAAGCATCTACTCAACATCAAGGGTCAAATGAGTTTTTATAATGAAGAAGATGATTATCCGGGCGCCAACCTTGAAGGCCTGCAGCGGTTCAAGTCACTGGTTGAAAAAGAATGGTCAGGCTTCATAAACCGGGGATATCAGGAACTTGACGCCAAAAAGCTGCAATTCAATCTGGATGAGTCGTCTAATGCTAGACTAAAAATGAAGCGCAAGACGATGGACTGGGACACATTCACTGGTGCTGGATTTATCGGCAGGGAGACATATCATCCTACAGCACAGCTTAACACCTAAAAGGTTGCCACTCACAAAAACAAAAGGCAGTCCTGAACCCTTGACCCAATCAGCTCATACTCTGCCTCAAGACACTACCATGTATTACATCTACAGAAGCCAACACATCACACAATGTTATAATCTGGCTGTTTGGCACATTTATAACTCCTTGGGAAAAAAAGTTAATGATAGTTATGATCAATATGGGAATTACCTAGCGGAAAGGACCATTCTGACTACTTTGAATAGAGAGGTTGGAAAAGTTAACAGGGCCATGTTATTTAATCTTGGATCCAAGTCGATGACTTCAATTTCAGTCAATAGGCCGGATGATGAAGCTGAAGGCGTGATTGCTGTGGAGGCGTTGAACAACATAAACTTTGCGAGGTTTCCTTATCATCAACTTGAACTCAAGGTTGGAGACTCTATAGTTCTACTCCGCAATTTAGGGGTAGAGCATTCCCTTTGCAATGGAACGATAATTGTAATCAAAGGTCTCAGTCCCAAGGCAATCAGTGGACGCATTCTGACAGGTGCTTTTAAAGGGAACCCGGTTTTATTTCCAAAGATCACATTGTTCCATGAAGGCAATACTACAGTCAAAGTTTCTTTCTATAGGTTTCAGTTCCCGGTGGTCTTAGCATTTGCTATGACCATCAAGAAATGTCAGGGCCAGATTATGAATTACATAGCTTTGGTATTAGAGAATCAGGCATTTGCACATGGTCAATTATACGTAGGATTGTCTTGGGTCAAAGATGTGCGGAACCTTTTGGTTACTCAGGTAAGTGATGACAGATTAGTTACTAATGTTATGGTCAAAGATCCGTTCATGTTACCAGATGATAAAAATTGTAAAATAGACTTGAATGAGACCAGGCGGCGAAGCCGCCGCTAAACACTAGTTTACATAATACATACCATTAAAAGAAAAAAAAAAAAAAAATTATCTTATCTTTCAATCAAGAGATATCCACTGCTCATTGTTCTTGTGATCATCAGACTTGATCATGTAATCTTAAATCAAAGGATATCATTAAGCCATCATTTTGAATAACAACCTTGCACCTTTCATTTCCCCTTGCAAAACTCTTTCTCTCTCTCTCTCTCTGTATGAAATCTAATCACAACACCTTGACATAGGAAATCATCATCCGGTTTTGGGGTCCAACTTGCTGATCAATACTTATATCAAAAATTTTAATTAGTGTTTGCATTGCTCTCTAGTCAAGCTCTAAAAATCAACTATTGACATATGTATATGCCAATTTTCATTCAAAGCATCAAAAAAAAAAAAAACATCTTAGATCTAGGAACTCCAAAAAAACCAACTAAACACAATGTAAAACTGGAAATAAGTTGGTTGTTGTTTTTTTCCTCATACCAAAGATGTGATCCGAAAAGAAAACGCTCACAATCCTTCTTCTATTTACTCTGATTATGAACCAATATGGGATTGAAAACTCAAATTTGCTGATTTTTTTGGACATAATAAAGAAAGTATATCAAAAAAAAACAAATCTCTAGTTGACAAACTGGGAGTGATACACTTATAACCAGACCTTTACAGGACAATTCCAATCCAAATTAACAGGAACTTGAACATCGGTATACTGATCATGAGGATCAAATCTCCATCAAATTCATGCCCATCAAGATTGAAGACCCTTGCAAGTGTTTCTGATCAAGGACGAGAAACTTTCCGAAAGTTTTGCAAAAGATCCACCCTCAGGATTAAAATCGAGGTATGCCAAGTTTGACTGCGACCGGATGAGAAGCTGACAGACTTATGTACAACCAGAACTCTAGAGATGTGTGCAGTTTGCTGGATGAAACGAGACTTCAGCATCGCAGTGATCAGATGCCATGAAAGACAACAAGTCCCTCGGAACCAGTCGGGCGACGACGAGACCCAAGCTGCTCCACAGAGAATAAGATTCACCAACTATTCCAAGAGGAGACGACGGCTTGGTGGTGGGCTACATGGAGACCACAGGGATCTGGCTCTTTTTTTTTAAAAAAAAAACTGATGTGCTGAACTTGTCCGTATTCGCAAACTGTCATTGGTGTGCCATCTCCTCTCCAGCGAAAGAGAAAGAGAAAAAGAGAGAGAGTTCAGATGAATGTGAAGACAAGATATTATCTGCAGCCTCGTCGGGATAGTCCAGTCACTCAGTCCATCAGCCATCATAGTTTGATCGAAGCAAGATCCAAAGCAAGTCGGAGCCAGGCCGAGCACAGTCAGTCTGCCGGCTGCTCCTCAACGAGCCTCGCTAAGACCCTCTGTGCGTCTCTCGTGCGTGTGTTGGATCCATATCTTTCCTTCGACGCAGCCATCCACCCTATAGCTTAATATCCCGGCCTTCTGAGTTGTCTTGGACCCTCTCTCTCTCTCTCTCGGCTACTCTTCGTCCTTCTTTTTCTTCCTCTCATTCGCGGCTCTATTTATCTTCACTTGGTCGTTCCTGCCGTCTTGAGTTCATTGGACTTCTCGTTCAAGATATACATAAACTTATTTATTCTCGGTCTGTTCCGGCCTCCATCCCCGCATTCCTTTATCAAAAAAAAAGTCTGTTCTCGCAGAGATCAGCCGACATCTTCCGACCGAATCCGAAGCAGTGCTCCGAGTAGAGGGGAGGGGGATTAGATGGCCAATCGCAACAAGAGCTCGATGCGGAGGAGGACGCTTCTAAGCGTGCTAATCCTGATGACGACGACGACGATGAGTATGATTGAAGAAGGCGAAGAGAGGGTGCCCCACAACCGGACCTACACGCTGCAGAAACGCGGGGGAGGATTGAATGTGATGGGCGCCTTGGGAGCCGGGACCGGGTTCAGTGGGGGCGGCTCAAAGAGTCTCAAGGATCCCTGCGGATACATCGAGTTGACTCCCGACAATTGGCAGGACTTGGGCATCGATGAGTATCTTGCTAATTACCCTAACGGCGATAAACTCACCCTTCAGGTCTCTTTCTTTCTCTTTTTTGCACTCTTTTTTTTTCGTCTCGTTCTTCTTTCAGGTTGTGTGCTCTTATACTGAGATGGAACTTTGTTTATCATAGGAATTCGCGGCTGAATTGAACGTGCCTAACTTTTATTGCGGAGTGGGAATGCAATGTTCAGCTGGCCAGGTCAGTCAGTCAAAAAAAAAAAAACACCCTATCTGATAATCTGTCGTTCGTTGACATCTGTTTCCCAAAAACCCAATCCGAAAAAAAAAAGCTGTGCAGTCCAGCGGTAGGGATCAACTGGATAATCTTGTATGCGATCCAAGAATGGAGTAACTTTATGAACAGTCTTTATAAAGCGGTGGAGCATGCAGTCACTTTAGTCAAGGGTATGTCAAGATCAATTCAAGATGAAAATCCCCTCTGGTAACAACACTCAGATCCAACTGACCTGTCTACATCTGATCTTCAGATGCAGCGTCATCCATCGTTTCTGATTTGTAAGTGCTCAGCAGCGGAAGCCTATTAATATATAAATCATGGCAGAGTGGGGTTTGACACTGACGATATATACGTTTCCGGCCGGTGGACAGTACGAGCCTGATCCCGCCGAATGACCAGCTTTACGGCTGGACGGTTGCCGACATAGTGTGTGGGGTGTTAGGGAGTATCTCAGCGATCGCGGTGCCGGCGTTTATCCCAGCGGATTCGCTGCAAGTAGCGATGGCCGACCTGGCCGTTGCGCCGGCATTTCTGGCCACGCCGGAGCTGGGGATCGGCCGGGACAAGGATTCGCCGCGGGAGGGACAGAAGGCCTATGATGCCGCCGGGGCGGCCTTGGATGCCCGCAATTACAAGGCCTTCGAGAAGATCCAGACCGAGAAAGATGAGCAGGTCATCCAGGACTTCTTCCATCCCCCCTCCTCCTTGTTGCTCACCAATGGTCCACCTAAAGCTCCCTCTGACCCGGCCTCAAAGGAACCCATCTTTCATCTCCAAATGCCCGAGAGTCCAAGAGATAATAGTCATCCTGATTCTCCTTTCGTCGAGAGCCCTCCTCCTAGTCCAAACGCTCAACCCGGCTCCTCTCCCTTCGCCCCTAATCCTCCTCAAAGTCCTCGCTATCCTGGTCCGGCTGGCGCAGATTCAACTCCTCCTCAAAATCCTAAGAATGACCAGCAAAACCCGCAGACTCATCAGAGACAACGTCGGTCACTTATCAAACATAAGGAGGGCCATTCTAGTTCATACGCTTATGTGAGCTCTTCTGGTCTTCCTGATGATGACTGATCCACTTTACAAGGAAGAGGGTGATACTAGAGAGACCAAGAATCTGACTGCTTGAACGGATTCTTTTTTGATTGGACTTGTAATACACGAACATAATCGATGACTGAATTATGGGCTCGAAAAAGACGCGATATGCATACCTAGAATCGCGGCTAAGCTCGATCCAAAACCGGATCCAAAGCTACATTGCGGTGAACTTCAAGATGGCGACGATGGCGCCGATCTTGGCCAAGGGCGGGCTGGCGGAGATCCTCCAGGGCGGCGCCTATCTCAACCCTAATCCCAACGAGAACGAGCTCCAGGAAGGCGGGAAGGCGTTGGCGCAGATCACCGCTCTTGCTCAGTTGTTCCAAAGTCTCGTCCGTCATCCTTGCTCTTTGCTTATATATCCTTTCAACTGAGTTGGGTGTGTTTTCGTTTCTGGATAGAAAATCTTCGTCGCTATAGGAAGTGTAAGTATTCCAAATCCAACACTCATTTTCTGTGTATATTCTGTGCTGATCTATAGGGATGAATGATCAGGCTGAATGCAAGGCGGGAGGCCCAAATGGGGCCTGGAACAAGAAAGATGAGCTCTCCTATTGCACGCCGGATGGCCTGTAAGTCGTTCACCTCCAATATTGCCATCATCACCATCATCATCATCATCATCTGAAAATACTGATTGATGATGATGTGTGTACATAAAAAGGATGATGAACATCGTCCAATCATCGCAGACCGGATTGGTGATCGCCATGCCTAATGCCCATTTGCTGAACGAGAAATACGGCTATACCACCGAATTCTTGGCCCGGTCGGCTTGGGAATGTCAAAAGAAATACGGCGTTTACACTAATTCAACGTAACATATTTACCATATTCCTTTTTTCTGGGTTTTGGATGATATGCTGATCGTTTGTAGACACTTTTTTACTTTGTTGGTCTCTCAGGGCGCCTCCTCCGGTCAACATGCGTTCGGATTGTATCTTCCCGCTGGCCGTGTGTGATTGCACTTTACCTGGTCAGTCTCCCGCCCGTCCCATTCATACTATAGCTCTTCTCTTAGGACTGCTTCTCATTTCTTGGTTTGTTCGATTGCTTGTAGATGTGTCGAAGGTCTTCAAGGGAAAGAATAAGAACCTTATCAAAGCCTGTCGGGAGGTCGCCAACTTACCCATTTAATTCTTTTATCGGCTATCGGATATCACAAATCCTCTCTCTCTCTCTTTTGTCTTTCTTTCTCACTCTCAATTTGTTTTTTTTTGTTCTTCTTTCTTTCTTTTTATTTGAATAGATGTGTTTTATCTTCATTTTTTTTGTCGAGTTTTTTTTTTTTTTTAAAGTTACGAAATGAATGGCTAAATAACACACCGAGAAGTCGAGCTATGTGGTGAAGATCAGGCCAAGTATGTAGACTTGATTACCAAGATAAAAAAGGGAGCCCGATGGTCATTGGCTCTAACTCTCTTCAGGCGAGAGTTATTTACATACATATGTTGGTGGGCCAAGTGATCTCGATATTTTTATAAGCCCACTGTAGCACTGTTTCATCTTCCAGACAGGATACATAATCATGATGAAGATCAAAAATTTGGCTTAGAATTCAGACAAGAATTGTAAAATTGTATCTGCGTATGGAATGGGTTCATTGATCCCAGAGATGATTGATCCCTTGTGAAGCTGTGGTTATGTGTGCATAATCCGTGTTGATGCCCTTTCAGTTCTGTCAGAGGGTACTCCTGAGTACTCCTTGAGGGTGGAGGAGATTTCCTGAGACGATACATACTCAGGCTGTGCTTACATAATCTCAGTTGATCGAGCCCGAGCAAGAGAGAGAGAGAGGGGCCTACTAAGTAAAGGGGGGGCTACCAGCAGAGCATAAATAGCTGGCCACTCTACATTCACACTCTTTCCCTCTAACAACACCAGAACGACGATCAACAGTTCAAACAAACCCACGCAAGTTTTTTGGACGCGATTGCAGAAAAACCAAGGAATCACTCGAAAAGAAAGATACAGACGACTAAAGATGGAAGCGGGTACCGATCTCGACTCAGTGACCGATCTGCTAGCCCTGCGTCTCTCCTCGGTGCCATTCCACGACATCGAGCGAGCAGGAACGGAAGAGCGGATGAACGAAGGAGAAGAAAGAGAAGAGGCACGGTTTCCGAGCGAGACGTTAGCGTCTGAACGCTGGCTCCCGCAGCTGGCGACGGTCTCCTTCGTCGGCCCAATCACTCCTATCCAGCCTGCGCTCGGCTTCTTCTCCACGAAGATCCCGCTCCTCTTGCCGGATTCCTCTCACCCGTTCAAGCCTTCCGGATCCTTCCCCACGGGCTTGCTGCTCCTTCCCTCCTCTCTCGTCGTCGGAACTCTCCCGCAAAACCCTCACCTTCCCTGCGGCCCGTCAAATTGGTTGATCGTCAGTCCCCCCCCCCCCTCCGACACATCTATAACACACACATGCATACTCTCTCTCTTTCAAAAAACTCTCAAGCTCACATCCTGTCCACAATCCACGGCTTTTTTTGATAGTCGGGTGAGATATGTCTGATCAACAAGGAGATCAGCGTGGTAGCCCAAAGCGTGTACGAACAACAGCCACAACAAGCAGGACTGCAACCGAGTGCGACGACAAGCCCAGCGAGTCAAGTCTCGTTTACGGGCTACATGAACCGCCTGATCCGGGTCGATCCGCCGGTCTGGACATACACCGGTCAGACCCAGAAGAAGAGGCCCGATTACTCGAGTTTGGAGGGCGCGATGGAGGCCATCCTAGCCCATCAAGGAGAGCATGAGTATGAAGAAGTCGGATGGCAGGATGGGGACGAGATCCAGGACGGAGAGGTCCGCTTGGCCGAGCTCGAATGGCTCGATCTCTCCGTCCATCTCCAAAGCCTTACATACACTCCCGCAGACCATCAGCAAGCTTCCTGGAGCACCCCCAGCTCCGAACTCGTCTCCTTCAAATGTCGGCCTGCTAAGTCTACTAATACAAACAATTCTCAGCTCGATTCAAGGGTCGTTAGGTATGGCTCCACCCTCCCTTTGGTCGGCCAACTCGTCGCC